GGGACGAAACTTAGAAAGAGCTCGGGTAATGTTACTGCATCAGTCGTTCAGACGGACCGCTACTGCAACGCTTTCCAAGCATGAGATTTTATGTTCCTATTCAAGATGTAGAGTTTTATAAGCAGTAAATTTTTATTTTATAAATTATTTTTTATACCTTTTCTCTACAGTTTATTTATCTGTTTTCCTTTTTTTCTCTATTTTATATATACAGGGTGGCATGAATATACGGCCCCACTCGTCCCGAGAGTGGACTAAACTGAGTAGAAAAGTCATCTACCATTTTGCAATGCTCGCAATAATTAACGAGATATTAACGTTTAAAGATAGCCAAATACGCACCTCCACCCGACCTATTATTACCGAAGGTATGGCCCACCGAGCGCACGGCACGCGGGCCGTGAGGAGTGGAGATGGCCTAACAGGCTCCTTCCGGCCTACGCGTTCGATATATATATATATATAAAACTTTCTTCTGCGAAGTATTTTCTTGTAATAAATCTCATCATACACCTAGTATATTGGAAAGAATATTTACACTGATTCCTACAGCTTATAAATATCCGGATGTTGGAATCGTCGTGGAAGCTGTGTCTTTTGTGGAAATTGCTAATTGGCGACAACCAAGTAACAACATAATCTTGCCTCGTGCAATGTGGCAGGCTTTCATTGAAAAACGCGCGAACGGTTCGTGTAATCAATTACACTTTTTCGTCATTATATTATTACCAAGATCTTGTGATAGAAATCGTAAAAATGCGTGATGTGAATGTGGTCAAATTAATACTTCGCGATACATTTCTATATATGAAGCCATAACGAAACATCATCACGCATATTATGTTTATGTAATTCATCGACTGGAGTCCTATGTTTACATAAACGTAGATCCCTGGTTAGTAGTAATGCTGTTGGAGTTCTGATTCTGAAACTCCAAGAGGAATGCGGGGTGCGGGGGATTCTTCGGTGGTGGGGAGTGACAGTAACACATCACAGATTTTGGGGACTGCAGTCACGTACGAAACAACAAAAAAGAAAATATTACCATGAACAAAAAACAATACAAAAAACAAATGTTTGTAAAACGAAAAGTGTTACAAAGGCTATCAGCCGGTATATGCTCCAACCGTTTTTAAGCCCAAATATGGCGTGATGTAATTTTTCTAAAAGAAAAGAACATTTATTAATTATTTTAAATAAATACGATCAATTTCATAATTAAGCGATTAAGTGCCAATATCTAGTTGCTATCGAAATCGATGATATTGAAACGCAATGTTTCCCTCCCTTAATAAAAGAGTCTCGATTGTTTATCCTTTTTTTCTGGAAAGCGACATGATAATCAGACATGTTTTTGCAATATATTTTAAAATTAGTAGAAGTGTAAATGTAAATGAAATTCGATAGAATTGTATTTTCATAAATTTTTATGAGGGTGGAGCTTTCTTTTTTTTAAGCATACTTTGAAAATGAACGCATAATGCTCTACTCTGAAAAGAGGAAGTTACAGATAAAAATTAATTCAGTGTATAAATATGCCAGGTTATAGTATGTTGAAATTTATGAGAGCGAACTTGTTTTACTGTTAGTAAATAGTTGTAAACATAGATCGAGATTCCATTCAAGTAGAGCGCGATCTGTTGAAGCGATCCTACAAAATTGCTACCTTGAAGGAATATTTCGCGTGGGTAGAAGAGTGCAATGAATTTATTAAACAGCTTGAAGTATGCAATCGTGTCAAGCGTCCACGGCTCTCCACTGGATACAGACAGTCTCTAATCGCTACAATCACATGACTCAAGGATAAAAAAAACTCAATTAGAAAGACAATTTCTGCATTTTGATGGTGATTACGCGAGCACTAGCAAAAACAGTGAAATGACAATAACGTGAAAAGATCTTTTGTTTAGCGAGAGATCGATGCAGCATTTGAAAATCGAATTTTAACCGGTGCGGACTATATCGAGCCGCGACAATCTTTAGAAGACATCAACAGTGTAGTGCTCGAGCGAGTGTAAGACAAAATAGAAAACACAACTGTATAAAAGTGAACACGATATTTAATGGCGAATTTGCGACTGGTGATAAACGTGCCAATAAAAGTATTAATACTAAAAACTACTCTTTCAAACATCGAACTTGGGTGAGTGATATGAGCGGCACGTCATCGAACCCACGTTGACATCTCTCGAGGAGTTTCAAGAACGTGACAGTGGGTGAACGTTGTCGCGAATTCTGAATCTTACAATAAACATCAATAAGTATAATCCAGTGCGCATGGGATGACGCTTCGAAGTGCTGCGAGAGATAATGACAAAGAGAGTGGTGATTAATGTACGATCGATGGACAATGCATGCTTCGCGTGGTCGCCGCTCTGTACCTAGCCGAAAAAAAGGCGGATCGTGAATCTTCCTACTCATATTGTACAATGGGGCTGAATTTCCAAAATATAGAATTTTCTATGACGTTAAAAGACATAACGAAATTCGAACGTGTCAACGACGTGTACATTAATGTATCGGTATCGAGGGACACACAAAACGTTCTCCCGATACGACTCGCTGACGACAGAAAGGAGAAACATGTCAATGTTACTATAATATATTTGCAAGATCCGCGAGACGATAGTGAGCCATTTCGTATGGATCATGAATCTGTCTCGGCTCATGAGCTCGCAATTGAGTAAACATCACGGTCAAAAGTACATTTGCGATCGATAAGTATATGATTAATAAACACGAACTCTTCTTTTAAAAAAAATTAACATTATTTTTTTTTACTTGCAGCTGTTACATTATTTTCATTCCAACGAGAGATTGCAGTCACACATGATAGATTGCCGACGGATAAACGACTGCGCTATCCGACTATTCAGCGACAACGACAAGTGATTGAGTTTTAACTATAATAAGAAAGGAACTATATAAGGAACTATATAACTTTAACTATATAAGGAAGGAACGAGTTCCATTTGACGTTTACGCTAATCTAGAATGCATCCTCGAGAAAACTGATAGCGATCAGGAAGCATGTATCAACATCATCATCAAATATTAAGCATAGGATACTAAGTGCGCTGTTCGTATGACGAATCGCTATCAAAATATCGATTTCGTCGCGATCCGGATTGCGTTTCCGGATTGGTTAGTCGAAAAATTAGAAGTTTATCATATTGCATAAAAAAAATTTTGTTATGTCTCCATGGAAACTTTGTCGAGCGAAGTGGGAGACATTGCGCAGCGCAATTGTCACGTGTGCGAAAAGTCTTTTGCGCCAGACGAATCGAGTGAGCGATCATTGCCATTTAATCGATCGTTACAGGGATCCCGCGCATTCAAATTGCAATTTAAATTATATAATATTTAAATTATAAAAACTCATATTATATTTTTATTACCCATAGTTTTCTACAATTTATCAAGCTATGTATGTATATATTCACATTTTATTATCAAAGAAATAGTTACAGCATATGAAGACAGTATAGATTTATTACTAATAACAAAAGAAAAATATATACCATTTATAAAAAATATTAAAGATACCGCTGAAAGATCAGGTTCACGAAATAACATAAAATTACGGTTCATTGATTCTTATAAATTTTTAAGTACCAGTCTCGACAAATTAACATCTTTCCTCAATAAAAATAAACTTCGAATTTTACAACGCGAATTACAAAATTTGTCCGAAGAAGACTTCTGAGAAGTTACTGACACGAAAAGGGATTTTTCTATACGAATACATTGATTGCGCTGACAAGCTGCAGGATATGCATTTACTACTGCGCGAATCATTTTATAGTTCCTTGACCGGTGACACTGTATCCGAAAGCGATTACGCACACTCCGTGAACGTATGGCAACAGTTCTCTGTTCAAACCTTGGATGAATACAGCGATCTATATTTAAAAACTGTTAGCCGACATATTTGAAAATTTTCGCGATAAATGTATTGAAAGTTACGGTCTCGACCCTGCATATTATTATACGTAGGCTGCTAGAAAAGTTTCTGCAATACTTCCAGTGGCGCCAACTGCTACTATCATATCCGTAAAATTAGACGTTTTTAACGTCTAACCCTATAATTCAGTTGACAGTTTGTACCCAAGCCAATTAGTTTTGTTTGCATAGTATTTTAAAAGAAGTTATTTTGTGAGAAAATGGAAATTTCACGTGAAAATTTTTGGGCAATTTTTTACGATTACAAATGTAATCTAACTCCGAAACAATGCATCGATCGACTTCATTTGGCTTTTTTGGGGATGAAGCACCCATCCAATAGGACTGTTTATAATTGATTTGCCGAATTCGAGCGTGGACGTACCTTTCTTTGTGACGAATTTCGTGAAGATCGTCCATCCACGTCTGTTGTTGCCATTAATGTTGATGCTGTGCGTGAAATAATTGAGCGAAACCGGAATATGACGCGAGATTCAGGCATCCTTAAGCATTGACATGAAAGCAATACAGACCGATTTTGCATGGTCACTTGAGCGTACGGAAACTTTGCAGTCGTTGAATCCCAAAAATATAAAATCAATTTTACTTAAATTACCCTAATTCCTATTCATAAGCACATTCATCTAATCCATCCAACTCTTTTTAAACTTATTTCTTATATAACCTTTTAATTTATCATCTACAAAAAAATAATCATTTATTTAATTAATGATCTTGAATAAGTTTATGTTTTGAAAATACATTAAAGAAATTTAAAATTTTTTATTAATTTTTCCATAATTTTTTACTTTTAACCTCTTCTCCCAGCCCCCACTCCACCTTATTTATATTAACCTATTAATTAAATACAAAAATAAATTTAAATCAAAATAAAAATTATATTATATAATTTAAAATAAATGGCAAAATAATCTTTCAACATAAATATATTAACTCATCATAACGTATTCGAGGTAAGATTCCTCGTATTATAATAATTAAAAATAATAACAAATCCCACACAATTTGACCGAAGCTCAAAAACAGACTCATGTTAAATGGAGCAAAGAAATGCTCAAGAAATTCAACCGAGGTCGGTCAAATTTGGTCTACAATCATCGTTACTGGGGAGACATGGATCTATTCGTATGAGCCCGAAAATAAACAATAATCCACTGTTTGGGTATTTCAAAATGAACCAGAACCAACAAAAGTTGTTCGTTCACGCAGTGCTGCCAAGCAAATGATTACTTGTTTCTTCAGTTATATCGGACATGTGGCAATCCTGGCTTTAGAGGATCGAAGGACTGTAAATATTGATTGGTATACAATAATTTGTTTGCCAGAAGTCATAAATGAATTGCGTAGAACAAACCGAAATCGCATCATTCTTCATCATGACAACGCCAGCTGTCACACAGTACGTTGATTTTTTATCCAGTAAAAATATAGAATTGATGACTCATTGTCTGTATTCATTTGATTTATCACTTAATGACTTCTTTTTGTTCCTAAACATTAAAAAGAAGATGCGTGGTGAGCGATTTGAATCGCCTGAAACAACTATTGAAACAACTATTGAATCGCCTGAAACAACATTTCGTACACTGATTTTTGAGGTTACAGCCTCAGAGTGGAAAAAATGCTTTGAAAATTGATTCGAGCGTATGCAAAAATGTATTGATCTTAAAGGCGAATACTTCGAAAAACAATAAAGCCATTTACCGAACATGGCCATTTACATGTTTTTTTTTATATTGTTTGCAGAAACTTTTCCAGCAGCCTACGTACTTTACCAGATTTTACGTGGGACGCTCTGCTGAAACATACTCGCATAAATTTCGAACTGCTCATTGACATCGATATGGTGATGTTTATCGAGCGCGGTGTACGCAGCGGTCTAGTCAATGTTCCAGAAGGTACGCGCGAGTCAATAACAAATATATGCAGTCATATGACGTACTTGATGTACTTCGATGTTACGAGGGCAAGTCAATAAGTTCTTAGAAAATCTGTCAGAGGGCACTCGCAGTGTCATGTTACATTACTTTTTGACAAGTAGCATCTTTCAGCTGATTACTGTCAAATTTTGAGCGGAATTCATCGCGTGATTTTATTTCTAGACGATTAAAACGAACAACTTTTGTATTTTTTGCGAAATGGAAAAAAATGAGTTTCGTGCAATGATCAAACATCTATATATGAAAGGTTTAACGCCGAAAGAAATCAAAGCCGAGTTGGACAATATTCATAGCATATCTGCACTAGCGTTTGCGACTGTATACAATTGGGTGAATGAATTTAAACGTGGTCGTACATCCACATGTGATGCACGTCGTTCGGAACGTCCAATTGCTATGCTAGAAATCATAAAATCCACGATATTGTTTTAACTGATTGACGAGTGAAAGTGCGCGAGTTTGTTGAGGCCACAAGCATGTCACATGGCACAGTGATTTCAATTTTGCACAAACATTTGTGTATGAAAAAGCTATCGGCAAAATGGGTGCCGCGTTTGCTCACTATGGACCATAAGCGCGACCGTGTGATTTCAAAACAATGTTTAGAGATGTTTCAACGTAATCCAGATGAATTTCTGCGTCGATTCATTACTGTGGATAAAACATGGATCCACTTTACTTCACACCCGAGACAAAGGAACAGTCAAAACAATGGACTTCACCGAGTGAACCAGCTCCGAAGATCGTGAAGTCGGCCGGAAAGGTGATAATCATAGTTTTTTTGGAATGCACGCGGGATAATTCATATCGATTACCTTCCGTCGAAGCAAACGATCAATGACGATTACTACGTAGCCTTATTGGACCGTTTCAACAACATTTTAAAGAAAAAACTTCCCCATTTGGCGAAGAAGAAAGTGCTCTTCCATCAAGACAGTGCATGGGTTCATACGTGCTCGGCACCGATGGTCAAATTCAACGAATTCTGCTACGAATTGCTTCCCTATCCAGCATATTCGCTAGATTTAGTCCCCTGCAACTATTTGCTGTTTCCAAACCTGAAGAAATGGTTCGGAGGAAAGAGATTCACCACCAGAGAACAGCTATTCGCCGAAACAGAGGCTTATTTTGAAGGGTTGGACAAATCATATTATTCAGACGGCTTGAAACAGTTGGAGAAAGTGGATCAAATGTATCGAGCTGAAAGGAGATTATGTTGAGAAATAAAAATGAATCGATAAAAAAATGTGTTTGATTATGTTTTTCTAAAAACTTATTGACTTGCTCTCGTAATAATCTATATGGGCGATGTTTCAACCGTTACCATACGTCAAATTTCGATGGGTCGAAAACATTTCGAACTTTGACGTTAGCACAATTGCTCAGAATTCGCTCACAGGTTACACGTTCTTGAGATTGACTTAGAATATCCGGAGTGTTTGCACGACGAGAACGTTGATCTGTCATTCTGCACAATGATAAGCCACCTAGCAAGCAGCAGGATAAACTTTTAGCGACTGTGTATGACAAAAAACGTTACGTTATATACATTATCGCAACTTGAAGCAGTGTATGCGTCACAGTCTTCATGTAACAAAGATTCATCGCGTATTGCAATTCGCACAATCACCATGGCTTCGCGATTACATAGAACTTAATACAAAATTTAGAACGCTTGCGAAAAATTTATTATAGACTTTGAAAAAAAATTTATTTAAGTTAATGAATAATGCAGTTTTCGGCAAAACCATGGAGAACGTGCGCAATCACATAGATGTAAAATTACACAGGTCAACATTTGATCTAAAAGAATACTCTGGAAGCGGACTGGTCCCAGTAGGTTTTTTGTGTCGCTGATTACGATGAGCGAGTTGGTTAAGCTTCATCACATCAGATTCAAGGTCATTTCAAAGTCAAGTGGAGAGAAAACCTTCGAAAAAATCCAAAAAAATTCATGGGTATGTTTTTGAGGTCCCCGAATCCGAATCCATAAATTGTTTAAACCCGCGACCTATCCTAGAGGTCATACAAGGTCATTCTAAGGTAATTTGAATATAAAGCACAAACAAAATGTATTCATACATATCTTTTTTGAGTTTAGCTTTCGATTCCAGAATTTAGGTTTGGTTGCAACCAGGGCACCTCCCCGTGGTGACGGTGTGCAACGGAGTTGTCTCACTATCCGGCGAAGTCCCTGGGTTACGGCGATTATGCCGTCATGGCAACTAAACGTAGAAAATTTACGAGACAGGGTTTCGGATACCCAGAATCGGCGGCTGGTCAGGGTGGGGAAGCGGACCCGCAGGCGTCGTCATCAAGCGACCGTAGCTCTACAGTGGTGGAAAACTTGGCCTCTGTAGAGTCGAATGCTACAAGACATTTGTCATGTACTATTGACGTGAACAATTTTTGTATTGTTTGTGGGGAGTTTATTCCACAAAAGAAAAAATTTGTATTTTCAGATGCTTTGAAAATAAAATATAAACAACTTTATAGTATTGATACAAGTTCATTGGACAACTCATATACTCCCAAAACTATATGTTCGAGATGCCGTAGTGTTCTTAATGAAATTAACAAGCAGGTATTTTCTAAACCAATGATATGGAGATCCCCAACAAATCATGCTACCGACTGTTTCTTCTGTTTAACAAACGTGAAAGGTTACAACCGAAAGAATAAAAATTTAATTTCATATCCACAAGTCAGATCTGTGAATTTTCCAGTTCCTATTCACACGAATACTAATGATAGCAAGGAAATAAATGAAGAGGAACTGGAAGATTTAAATGATGAAGATTTGTTAGATGGATCATTGGAATGTGATGAGAATTTGTGATCAAAATTTTAGCACAGAAGAGTTAGATTTTGAGGAAAATACGGCAGATGCTGAGAAATGGGACCAAGATGAAGTGAGTGATCTTTGCAGAGACTTAGGACTCTCGAAAGAGAGCTCAGAACTTTTAGCATCCAGACTAAAAGAAAAAAAAGTCTTTCTACAGGAACAAAAATTTCTTTGTATCGTTCGAGAGAACGAACTTTCCGAAAATATTTTTCAAAAATGAAAAATTTAGTTTATTGCCATAATATTGAAGAGTTAGTGAAAGAATACGATATAGAATATACACCAAGCGATTGGCGACTTTTTATAGATTCGTCAAAAAAAAGTTTGAAAGCAATCTTGCTACATAATG